CCCCCTTAGATAACCTTCTGGTGTTGCGGTGTGCGAGCTTAAGAGGACTGACAGTAGCGCAGCTTGCCAGCCCCGATATTGTCGATGATGCTCTCAACGCACGCGAAAAGGCCTTGGTCTGGAAACAAGATCTACGCATCGTTCCATTGTGCGCTGCAATTTACCTGCTTTGTTACCTCGATCGCTCTAACATCGGTATATTTCCCGCCTCCAATGTCGGATAGACTTGAAGCTAAAGCATCTAGGCAATGCCAAAATTTTGAATTCGGATACTCACAATGATCTTCTCTCGGAGACTAATATGACTTCGTATCAGTACACGTGAGTCGCAACCATTAATTAACCACGACGATCCAAAGCGCTGATTTACAAAAGGATTGCACTCATGGTATTCCTGATTGCATATGCACTGTTCGAAGTCCCATCGAACTACTTCCTGAAGAAGCTCCGTCCTAGTGTACGTCTAACCAATCCATACACATCATCCATTCCCAATTATTACAGCCCCACTAACAAACACCAGCGCTGGATTGCCTTCCTCATGCTCTCCTGGGGTGCAACAACAATGGGTCTCGGCGGCGTCCACAACTACGCTCAAGTAACAGGACTCCGATTCCTCCTCGGTGTAATGGAAGCTGGCCTCTTCCCCGGCTTCGTATACTACCTTACATTCTGGTATCGCAACTCCGAGCGGTCGATTCGTGTGGCCTTGATTCTCGCCTCGGCAACACTAGCTGGCGCATTTGGCGGCGCTATTGCCTTTGGTGTGGGGCATATGAATGGCGCCCATGGACTTTCTGCTTGGAGGTGGCTGTTTATCATTGAGGGCGCCCCATCGTGCGCATCTGCCGTTTTGGTCTGGTTCGTGTTGCCAGATTACCCGGAAACTGCTAACTGGCTTACTGCCGAGGAGAAGGAGCTTGCTGCGCAGAGGTTGATTTTGGAAGGATCTAAGGGTTCTGCTCAAGCTATGTCTTGGGAGGATGCCAAGGCTACGCTGACGGATTGGAGATTATATGCTCATTATGCGGTATGTTTTCTGCGCCTCGCTCTCCTGTCAATTTCTGAAAGACTAATTGGGCAAAAAGGTATACTTCGGCATCTCAACGCCATTCTCGAGTCTTTCTCTTTTCACGCCTGCCATCACCGCTGGTCTGGGATACTCTGATCTCCGCGCTCAGTTGATGACCGTGCCTCCGTACGCGGTGGCCTATGTCGTGACTGTAGCAGTGGCCTGGTCTGCGGACTATTTTAACAGGTAAATTGTCTTGTATTTAGAAGCATGCCCAATTACTAACCTGAAACCATTAATTTTAAGCCGTGGTCTCCATTCAGCCATTTTCTCTTTCATTGGGGCAATGGGCTTCCTTGCCTCCGCTGTTCTCCCCGCCAGTGCATATCTAGTAAGTTGCCCAATCAGCGCAAGCGCGCATCAAGCCAATGAGTGTCATCATCTAATTCAACCCCCAGAGCCGCTATGGATGCCTCATAGTCGCGGCCAGTGGCGCCTTTGCCTGTATCCCACCCCTATTAGGCTGGCTATCCTCCAATATCAGCTCAACAGCCGGCGCAGGACTCGCAATCGCACTCAACGTCTCATTCGGTGCCCCCGGCCAAATCGTTGGTGTCTGGATCTACAAAAGTGACGAAGCAAAGATCGGATATCCAACCGGCCATTGGACAAATGCAGCATTGCTTCTCTTTGTGACAACCGGTTGCATTCTATTGAGGCTCTACTACGGCTGGCGCAATCGCCGTGGAGACGGGGCAAGAGACGGGAAGAGTTTCGCGTATTAGATTAGTAGAGCTGGAGTGTCGTGGTGAAAGTCGATAGGACTCGGGTTACGAGCTGCAGGGTGGACACGTCATATTTGAAGTTGGGACATGCATCTGCGTCATAAAACAGATAGATACAACATACCTAAAGTACCTAGGTAATTAATTTTAATGACAAATGAATTCTCATTCATTTTTACTCAGTGCGCACAGCAAATAGATAACTTCAGCTCCACATGTGCACTATCTCCATAAATAAAACACGGAGTGAAGTGCAAGGTTTAGATCTGTATTGTACATGTCAGCGGAGTCTAGTGTCCCCTTGCCTAGAATTTCAAAATTAAATGATATTCCAGATCCACATAAATCCTATATATCATTTAATCAATAACTTGCAGCTAATCAAATAATAAAAAAATCCCACGCCCCTCTAGATCTAGCCGCACCCGCCATCATCTCCACCTCCACCATCTCCTCCACTATGTCCTCCTCCGTATCCTCCTCCACCATCTCCTCCAGCAATAGCAACACTTTTCTGACGTGCGCGACGCTCCCTTTGCGTTTTAAATACTTTGTAGTCTTTGTTATGTGTATGCTGGCGGTAGGATGCGGGGCGGAGAGTCATATGCCTCTCTACGCGATGAGCCAAAACACATAGTGGTTTTAGATGAAAGGGACTGTTCTAGAGTAGAATAGAATAGATAACAGTTTTGCTTTAGATTTCTCGGGTATTTTAGAAAGTGCTTGGTTTGAGGTAGGTTGTCGTCGGGATGGCTATGGTGATGGAATAATTAATTTATATAGCCTTCCAACACCAAACCTTTAGTTTCTGCCTGGCATTGAAAAAGATATGGCGTCTTAGGTGGCTTGATTTTTATTTACTGTCTCGTATAGATCGATCGACATAGCCACCATCCGGAAAAGGCTGAGTGTAAAATATGTGGCCATATCAAGCAGTCTTGGCGATCATACTTCGGGCAAGGGTTTGTATAATGTACAATTCTAAGTGATAATATACCGAACATAATGCTAGCCCTAATTACGGAAAAGATCTATTCTTGGTTTTTTTTTTCTAGCACCTCGAGGTCATCCGAGGCCAGCAGTGGGTTGGTTAAAATAGACAATTAAAGTTGTTAGTTATTAGAGTTCAGCGTTCCATGGTTCACTCCAAAGTAACTGACCAACATCCAACGTCGAGTCTACAAAGTACTTTTGTAGAAATACATACCTTGCAACGCCAAGTAATATTGATAATCAGGGTTTTAATACAATTTACTTGATTCATTTTAATATAGGTCATTTGGAATGCTGCCCAACTCGGCCGCGATGCATCGGAAATTAATGTTTGGCTACTCCGTAGACACATGGCCAACGCTGTGCTACCCGCGGATGTGTAAGTTCGGGCGGGAGGCCAATGCGGCAAGAACCCGATGATCAACAGTACCTCAAACGAGGATAAACATGTACAACACGTTTTTCTAGAAAGGGGGGGTAAGTTTTTTTCCAGCCGATGATCATGGATCATAGATTCGTTAGTATACTCGTCATTAGTAAAAAAAAAATTAACAAATAATAAAGGGAAAGGAAGAATTCACACATAAAAGCTCTGCCGATAGATATTCTGTAATCGTATAATAAGAAACAAAGGAGAACAATCTGATAGAAACCAAACCCCGACCATTACAGTCCCAAGCCCAGTACCATCATATATGATACCAATATAATAGACAACCCGGTCCAATTCCGTGTGCGAATCTCCAAAACCTAACACAGCTTAACAAAAAACAACAGATACCAAACGAACTCCCTCTATCAGGTACATACACCCGATCTGAACCAAGGAAAAGATAAAACAACACAAAACATATCGAATAATGTAAATCAAATCCAAATCCGAATTCGAGACAGGCACATGCCCGGAAGATGGAGGTTTTTGTCCCGCCTTAATCCTATAACTCCCCCTTTTGACATTTTGCTCAAATCGCTTCCATCGCCACGTTGGCCATATCGTATCGCGCTTGAGATTAGGACAATTCCGTTGGCATCCGCGGTGACACAAACACACCCACGCATTTGTCAATAGTTCCAGGGGGATCGAAGCAGCAGGGGGTAGCATCTATTACAAATGCAACCTTAGATTCATCAACAATTCCACAAGATATAATTGCCATCTGAACTGCGCAGCAGGCAGTGACAACTGGAAATTGTCCCGGGTAGGACATCGAACCCACTCGAGCATGACAAGTCATATGTTCTCGAAGAGACAAACAGCAGTCATTTGACACGATGCATGAGACCCGAGCCCCTCGCCTCTCATCAAGTAGGAGTAAGCACCCGGCCTAATTCCGGTTTTGTCTCGAGGCAGACAGCGCAAGGCCGAGACAAATCAAATGCCAAAGACGACCTGTATGAACCCAAATCGGGGAGGACAAATGCGATAATTGGTCCCGGGGAAACGTATGTGGGATGTTTTTCTAAAGGAATACGTAGATGTACTCTCAGAAGACACGTATGTGGGAGGGGAAGAGGCGCTGAAAAGAGCCAAAAGGGAGTCTGGTTCGTGATGCATCACACGAGGCCTGACGACATCCAGATACCGTATCATATACTTGAGCTGTTGAGATCTCGGTGTGGTGTGTCACGACTGGTGCTGAGGTTCCACAAATGCGAAACAAGGTAGTGACTTGCATTTGGAGGTGGTCATCCGGGGCAGGAATGGTGCATGGTGCATTTTTCTTTTCTTTTTTTATTATTTGTCCGTCATTCTGGTGCCGGGAATCATCCCTACAGAGCCCATGACATGGACTCTGTATTGAAGTGAGCCATTGTGGGCCAGACTTGCGAAGCTGTGGTTGTCGACAAGGGATAGTGCATGCATCAGCAGGACTCGGAGAGAAATGGTGTCGACATGAGAAAGAGGTGGGAGGGAAGGAGTGCGGTGAAGGGGGTGTTTTTTTTTCCTGCAGTCAAAAACGCAAGTAAGAGAGCAAGGCGACAACAAACGGTATGGGTTTTTGTATCGGATAGGACTGGTGGATCCCCGAGGGCCCTTCACAGCAAGTGGAAAACAAACCAGAACAAGCACCCACCACACCAGGAAATGAAGTGCAACAGAGTTCAGGATCAACATCAGAATCAAGAACCAAAAAAATTTGATAAAAACACAAGAAGGGAAGAGAATGCCACCCAAGACTAGTAGGAAATATTGGAAATGAGGAATACGGTCAGAACCCGCCGGCTCCGCGACCATAGCCGGACGACGTTGCCTGCGGGAACAGTTGACCCTGGTAGACAGTAGCAGCCCGGGGCTGCTGATTCAGGGTCTTAAGGGCAACCTCGGCGGCGTCCTCTTTGGCATTGTTGATAAACTGACCGTCATACCAATAACGAGCGGCAATATTCTGGCCCTGGACAGTGACGGTACTGGACCAGGCGGTACGACCTCCTGCGATTCCGAGATAAAAGTAATTAGCTTTCTGTTGCCAAAGGCTCGGAAACTAAAAGTCGGTGTACAAGTGAAAGGGGGGGCATTTTTCTGTCTTTTTCTGCAAGACTCCACTCCTTCCTGCAATGCCCACACACGAGAAACACAGCAGTGGATAGAGTCAGGCTATGTACGTAGATATTGGACTGGGGGATAAGAGGGAAAATAAATTTATCTGGTTCTGCAGCGTGGGAAGACGGTGGATGGAGAGACTGAGGGGGAGGAGAGAAGGAGGATTGGAAATCGGGTAAGTACCTCGCCGATCGGAGACAATGTTGAAGACAGGAGGAGACACTTTGGTGCGTGTGCAATGATCTGGATATGGTTAGCCAAGTATTATTGTCATTTAGGAGAAATTTGGGGCTGCTGATGCTTGTCCACGCATTCCAATGGCTTACCCTGAAGCTGGTCCTGCCAGCTAGGCCGGCTGCCAACACTATTCCCTTGAGGACTAGTAGTATACGACATTGTTGCTTCGTAGAGAGATGGGATATCGGAGGGGAAGCGGTTAAGCTTTGCAATTGAGGTGGTATGGAGTGGGATTGAAGGTGGGGAGGATATCAGTCCACGATGTTTGTTAATAACCCAATTGATGATGAAGATCAAAAGAGAAAAAAGAAGGCAAACTTCAAAGGGAGTCCACAAGATATAAAAGAACAGAATCAGACGAGCTCAATTGGACCCGTTCAGGATCTCCAGAGGTCTTCTTAAATGTATTTTTTTTTTTTCAATGACCTTCAACGACATGGGGAGCGGGGAGTCATATAAACAGTGGGCCATATCTTCAAGACCAGGAAAGAAACCCCCGTTATTTTATTTTTCTTTTCTTCTTTCTTTTCTGTATTTTCTTTTATTAATTTTTGGTATTTCTTTTTTTTTCTCTATATTTTAAATGTTTTATTTACCCCCTAGGAACAAACAGGAGCCTAACCGTCAAACCTAACGAAGGAGGGGGGGCTTATGCATGTCGATGTGGACATGGCACAGCGTCAGCCAAATCCCCCCCTCCATTATCCACCAGTCAAGGCCCGTAGGCGAAGAGTATGCGGATCATTTTGAGGCTGCAACCTGGAACGGCCCGGCGCACGCCGACTAAGCAAAAAACAGCCCTTGAAGAAACGCTAGACAGCAAGTAAGGGTTATAGAAGAGGGGCAAACCGGATGTTCCCAAGCTAGTTCCCGCTCTATGACAGACAGGGAGATATTGCCTAGTTCTCCTAGGATCCAGAATAAATGACACCTTTTATCGGAAGAAGGTTGAACGCGGATTGGATGGAAAAAAGTGAACAACTCAGAGAACCCCACGTTGGTTTTTTTTGGGGGGGGGGGAGAGATTTGCATGCGATTTTCATTTTGGATTTTCCTTTCTTTTTTCTTTTTTTTCTTTTCCATCCCTCGCCTCACTTGAACAGAAGTACCTTAGGGCAAGGAAAAAATAATGTCCCGAGATTAGTTTGCGCATGGACTTGAACCGTATCGGCGGAACGGCGGGCTTCTGGAATAACCATGAGGGACTGCATGAGGGGGTTAGAGAGCTGTGGGTGATCTCTGCCCAAAAAGCGGAGCCTGTGGCCACAGCGTCAATGTCATAGCTTTTATTGTTTAATTGTTTTTCGGGTGTGGAGGATGCCCGAAATGTAGATTTCAACCGAGTTGGGCATCGGAGAAGCGTTGCCAGCTCATCATGATGGATGATATCATGATTATTTTAGAGAAGTCAACTCTCACACATTGTTGACATCGGGAGTTGCTGGGCACCTTCAAAGCCACAGACCGGGCCGCCCTGCATGAACAGTTGCTGTCGGGCCCAGCATCAACATAGAAAAGGGATTTTTTTTATATTTTTTTTTTTTTTAAAAAAGGGGAGGCATTGAAATGGAATTGCGGCAAGATGGGTGGCATTACCGGAGAAACGTCAGAAAGCCATCAAGAGGGTTTTGCAGAGATCTGGAACAAAGATACGGCCAAGAACCCCCTGGTTCATTTTCATGTTGTCGGCTAGTCCCGTCGGGTTAACCGCCTGATGTGCAGAGACCCCCATAGAAGGAAATTCATCGACAGTTCATTTGTTATTCACAGAGATAAATTTTGAACATCCCAGTCAGAGCAAATGGGGTGTTCACTTTGACAGGTAAGTGTTGGGCATTCATGCAGAGTTGACAATATCCTCAACCATGGTTCTCAGTAATGCGGCTAAAATCGAGTATGCACGAAACACGTAGAGCAACAGCCGACGGTCGACAGGAGACTAGGCCAGCACATTATAGGGCGTCTAAAACATTGAGATAAAAAAAAATGACAATGACAATGAGTGAGGGGCTTGCCCCGCACCCAATCTTGAAGTACATCTATACATGTATGCTTCGCAGTAGACTACATAAGTACCACGTACAATGTTGGTACCTACAGTAGTAGACGTAGTAGACCAGTATACTCGCATGTTGAAATTATATACTGGGTATCATATTGGCTATTTCTTGGATTTCCATAAGGCAGCAAGGCCAGGGGTGTTCTTCGGGTTGTTACTCACGCTAAAAACAAAAGATTCATCCAGAACCAATCGATCATGAGCCCTAAACAATAGTACTATTTCTTCATATGGTACTCCTGTACATTAATTTATTTTTGGTCTCTGCATTCTGAGAAAAGTCCTAGGTGAGTAAGTAGGGTGTACATGCATTTTGGATCAGGTCAATAAGTCGATAGATCCAAGATCAATAGGTCAAGAGAGCACGAGACATCTAGCTTGAGACTTGAACCATGGTTCACAGAGTAGACTAGCCCTAACTTGAGATCAGCAACCATGGTTCAGCTTTCAGCGGTCAGACCGGTGGACTCTTTAACATGCAACGCCAGCATAACACCTTGGAACCTCTTGGGAAGGTGACATCAAATCGTAAGTTATCATGCTAGGGTCCCGGTGCAATATGAAAAATGCCCAAATCTGCAAGTCTGCAAGCCTGCTTGGGTCCCTGTCAAACCCGTATTAGAGGATCGCCCGGAACCAGGCTCGAGTCTCCGGAATCCCGTTTAAGATGATTTCGTGTCAATGAACAACAAACATATGGCAAGAATAATTCACAAGCTAAACTAGAACAAGAACAACAAAATGTTCGTATCCCGTGTTATTCACATCATTAAATCATTAAAGGCAACATAAAGCCCCCTGCGTCACAAATATCTCGGCTAATGCAGGACCAACTCATTCACCTAGTTCATCTCATCATAAACCATTGTTGTCTGCTCATGGAGCCGAAAGCCCCTGTGTCGCTTAGGCGGATCCTCTCCGCTGTAAAACCTGACCGATCAGGCGCCGAGGGCCCATGCGCTCCAGGCTCTTTACTAGCGAGTGCTGAGCGGGCAGGATCCAGGATGGACGCCGCTCGTGATGCCAGCGACGACGAATGCAGTCGTCAACTAGCGCGACTATCCCTGTTGCAACAATCACACTAGAAAAGAAAATCAAACCGATTCATCAGCCTCATGCCTCATCATCACTTTGTGCAGGGGTACTATGAGTGCATTGCGTTTGCATGCGGTGCATGCGTTGGTGCATTGTACACGATCCACACACCCCCTCATACGAACCACAGAAAAAAGAAAAGTGAGACCAAAAAAGGGGGAAGGTACAACAAAACCAGATGCAAATAGGGTCAAGGCCAGAGCCAAGCAGAAATTGAAAAAAGGAGAAAAAAAAAAAAAGAAAAAAATAAGTGGTTGAGGGGTAGAACCGGGATTCAGAATAACTTACTCGGCAACATCAGGCATTGTCTTGTAGACTTCAGGATCACTGATCCACAATGAAGAAGGTGGCACCCAACCCCCCTTACTTTCCTCTTCAACAACCTCCAGCGGCGCTAGCGTATCCGGTACCAAATGAGCAATAGTCTTAGAAGTGCGCGTGTCAATCAAGAAATAAGACACTTCATGCAGATCACCCTCTTTGCGGACCTCCCTCCGCCACTGGTACTTCGTGGACCAATACTCGAACTCGTATTTTTTAATCGAGCCAGGCCCTTTGCGTCGCAGCTCGACATGCGCATAATTTGAGAATTCGAGCAAAATCGACTCACCCAGTATCGGCAAAGCGCTCAGTCCTTCCTTCTCCTTCTCCAACTTATTCTCCTCAATCATCCCCTTATTTACTTCTTCTCTCACATCATAGTCATTCCCATGTCCATGTCCACAACCAGCCTCAAGCCTTGAATGCTGCCTCTTAAGCTCCCCATTTGGTGGAGAGTGACCAGCAGCAGAACCCGGCCTAAATCCAGCAAAAATATTGCTCCATGAGGTTGGCAGCGCAGACCTTCTCTCATGAGCAGGCACGACCTCCCGTCTTGCAGAATTACACACCTCGCGCCCCGAGTCCCGACAGTACCGCCGGAACGAGAACTTACGCGAGAAGAGGTCATTCATGCGCAAGTGGAAGAGGATGACGTCGCGCTGGGAGCCGTCACGGAGGTGGACGGGCGTGTCGACGCGCAAGTTCATGTTGCCGTCAATAGTTGCATCGTCGTGGCGGATGAGCAGTCGCCGCGAGGAGGGGAAGAGCGGCGCAAAGGATGAAGGCGTTGAGGGGATTGCATCAAGTGGGTAGAATTCTTGCCGCTCGTTTACACAATAGCGGCCTTCGTGGGGGCTTGCGGGCTCGATTGGTTGGGGTTCCTGGTCGAGCTCAGCTGCGGAGTATGTTGTTGAGGCGTAGGTTGAGGTTGAGGAGCGGGGATGGGGCTCGCGGCACTCGTACGTGACTTCGGCCCCCGATCTGGATGTGTGTTTTTGGTTGGCTGGGCTGGCGGCCCAGTCACTTTCGTGTGGTTTGGGGGCTATTCTGTCGCTGTGAATTGTTGCGGCCGTGCTTTTTGAGCATGAGCTGTCTGTTGAGCTGTAACTGCCAGCTTGGCAGGATTTATAGGAGCCCATGGTATTTGTGAAATTGGCTTGGGATATAGGTTGTGATGTTGATTTGGATTATAGGTGTGTGTATGTGATCCACTGATCTATAGTGAAGTAGGCGAAGAAGGGTAGAAAAAGTGGATATAAGCCAGGGATAACATCAAAATCAGCCGTAAGTAAGCCGCAGGTGGTGTGGTTGGCCAAATAAGGTATATCAGAGCAAAAGCGATCACACCCGGCGTTTGGACCTGTAGATAGTCCGGTTGATTCCGTCCACGGGTAGTTTGAGGAGGGGTCAGATTCTCATAACATGGATCTAGGTCACCGAGGAATAAAGGCAGTGGCAAGGGACATTAGAGTAATATCTCCAGAGTTATTATCAGGGATAATACAGGTGAACGCAAAGAAAATCATATGATCGAGAGCGAACAGAGAGAAAAGGGCAGGGGTGGGGGATTTCCTGTTTGAGAAGGCAAAATATATAGAATAAAAAATATCAGGGGGAATTGGGGAGAATGTGAAAGAGAGGAAAAAAGCAAATAGAAAAAAAAGGAGATCGAATCCCCCAAAGCCAGAAATCAGGTCGGGGAGAGAATGTGAAAAACCGGACTGTCACAATGTGGGAGAGTATTTAGAACATTTGGAGGGGAAAATATGGAAGAATGCTCAAACTCGTCATTTTGGGTACCCGACTCTTTGTTCTACAACTTATTTACGAGAGCCACACGGTGACACCTAATCATCGTAGCCTGTAGCACAAATAGAAAGAAAAGAAAAAGGGAGGGGGAAAAAAAGGAAAAAAAAGGGAAAAAAAAAAAAAAGAAACCGAAAATCAGCCACACATCCTGGGCTGTGAACGAAATCTACCTATTAAGGGGTGATAGGACTCCTAGCGTACCATGTGCTGTGTGACAGTCCCTGTGTTTCATCTTCATTCGTGGCTTTGTCATTTTACTTTTTTTGTTTCCCAACGTGAGAACCAGTCAGATTGTGGGGGCCTGCATCGAATAGGTCTGGACACGAAATTCCCTGTACTCCGTATTCTGTACCTAGAGAGATGGGTACTGAGATGTTAGGGCTCGGGCCCTTTAGAGTTCAAACACAGAATTCGTATACGCTATACAACCTACATCATAGTAGGGAATATACAACTTCTTTGGCAAAGGCATCCCTTTATACAACCCTTTCAACGTTGGGCATAACTCGGACGTCATGAGAACCTTGGAAACCGTGGGCCCCACGGTCCGTTCCGATTGTGTGGTGGAGACAGTAATAACCGACTATAGATTGTACCAAAGAGAGAGAGAGATATATATATATATATATATGTACATATAACTGTACCGAGGATAGAGTATATCTAGGTATCATACCATATTAAAGAACATCTGTTCCCGAGTTCGCCATAATTAGAGAGATACATTCTGATCGTACGATTTAACTTTCCTAACGGTGTCTTGGGGCCATGACGACATAGGATCGGCTAATTTCAGCGCACAGACTTTTAAGACCTATCATCGAACGAAGGGGTCTATGATCCCCCTCAAATTACTCACTCCGATCAGATCGAACACAAAACACGATGAACTCATAGTCCCCACTAACCATAGCCACGTCGATAATTGATCAACATTGCATCGATGCTACGAGAAAGCATCCCTTGGCCTGAACTGCGACCGAGAAAATATGTCCAATAAAATCTATGACCACCCGTAGCCGAGCGACCGCATCCGGGTTCATACCGAGATGATTACAATATCCATGAACATTACCCTGAATGGAAATCAAAACACATGTCCAATCTGGAAGACAGAAGAGAAAGAAAGAAGAACTGGCGGCGGTCTACACCTGCGCATAGAGAGGCCGAGGAAGGTCCTCACCGGGCTTGATCAAGGCCTCTGAATGGCAAGCTGGGTGGGAAACAAGCCCGACGAAGCTTCCTGGGACCGGGGGTCGGAAGCCTACATAGGCTTCTCGTCGGTCTTCTACTGTGACGGACCAAGTGTGCAATCCATAGTAGGAGGCAATAGAGTGGACCAACCAGCGACTGAGAAGTGTCAGCGGACTGGACAGTTTCGTTATGGTGGGAGAAAAGGCTTGAAACATACCCGAATCCAGCGGCACGATCATGAGCCAAAGTCTCAAGCACCATCTTCTCACCATCCCGCTCGCTATGAGAGCTAATCTCCTCTCGGAGTAGGCGGAGTCTCTCCTTTCGCTCGGGAGAGTCGTGCATCTGCCCATTACGACCGACAAAGACGATCTCATCTTCCGAGTCGTCACTAGCGGAGTTCTCGGGAGCATCCCGCAACCCCTCTTTCTCAAGCAGAAGCTCCCTCTCGTTCCACTTCTGAATAAACGTACGGACCTCTTCTTCCAGATCTCGGAGCATGCCATGCGCAGCACGCGCATGCTTCAGCTTTGACCTCAGCTCTTTCGGGATGTGATGCTTCTCATTAGCTCTCTCGGCAGCCTTCACGGCCGACTGGTGATCCGCCACATGGGAATAGTGAACATCCCACAGGGGCGCAAGATAATAAGGCATCGGGTCATGCCGAGTATAGGTAGGTTGGACATCCCAGTCCTTGGATGACGGCGGTTCCGCCCAGGGATTGTGCAACAGACGATCTTGGTGTCTGGTCAGCATTTGCCTACCAAACCTGCGCCAAAGGCAAAAAAAAAAAAAGTACAGGCCGGCATTCACCGCGACCTATCTAGTGCATATACGTACCATTCTCCCAGCGCTGTCTCCGACGGCTACCGTCTTTGCCTTTGAGCAGAGCCTCCCGGGTCTTAAGGCCATCCCGGCGTAGAGGCTCCCGACGTCGGAAGCTGACTGTCGGGGGGCGGGACTCGACCTTGACTCGTTGGGATGGGATCGCTTCGTCGTCGAGAGGGATCGACAGTGAAACGGTGGCTCCACGCAGACCCGAACGCGTCGGGGTCGGTGTGGACGGTGTACTCGCTGCGGGGGCTGAGTCCGTCAGGGACATGTTCTGCAGGGAGGCTGCTGCATGTTGCTCTGTCCATGCGGATATGGCTCGGGCCTGTTGCGGCGACAGGTGCCCTTGCGAACCCTCTGAGCGCAAGCGTGGATGGATAGCCATAATGTATGCAATGCGATCAAATGAAGGCAACAGTTCTAGGGAGAAAGAGGGATAAGGATAGGATAAGAATGGGCAAGATAAGAGACCTGGGAGAGATGATACGCAAGGTTGTCTGCACGGGACAACTCGCTGGATGTTGATTGGTGGAAGAGTGGGTACCTGATAGCCCTAGCCCTGGTTTCCTAATTTGGAGTACTGGGAAATTGAGAAACTACCCTCTCGGGGGAAGGTGGATCAAATATCGAGGCTGTATTCACTAGCTCAAGGCTGTATAGTTAGGCAACCAAGCCTTATAACAATTTTCACCAGGCTACTCCGTAGAGATATGAATCCTTATCTCCACAGGGCTGTGAGTCATGGCGCAGTCATAGTGGAGTTTTTTCCTTCATTCTTCATTCTCCACCTTCAATCCCCAGACTCGAGTACGCCTTTGGTTTGCCAATACCTTGATATTTAAGATAACTTGAACATCGAAGACTTGAATATAAAACTGGAGTCCGTATTCAGAGTTTTCAAGGACCGGATATACCGGAAGTCCGTTCTAAGAATAATAGATGTAATATGATACAGAGCCTCGGTGTTTTAGCGCGCGGGGTCCGAAAATGGCTTGGCACAGGGCGCGTGCCCAATACCTCTCTTCCTTGGAGCTTTTAAAAAGGAACCTTAGACCACCCTTCTGCTTATTCTGCTTATTCTTCTTATCCTTATTTTCATCCCCATCATGAAATTCCTCACTCTTGCGCCTCTTGCGCTGAGCGTAACGGCAACTGCCATGATCATAGTCAACCCAGAGCAACAACCTCTAGCGCCTTCAATTGTTCAAAATCCTCAGTCTAAGTCCCTAATCGAACTGGCCCCATACAAGACCCGATGGGTAACCGAAGAAGAAAAATGGTCGCTCAAGCTGGTAAGCCAAGTTTTGATTCGAACTTAACTATAACATAGTACTAACGCTCAACCAGGACGGAGTGAACTTCATCGATGTCACCGATGAATACCAATCAGGCTCCTACGGAACCCTCCATACCACGCGGGTTGTCCACTACCCCGAGGTAATGGCCCACTCACACGATATTCTGCCATTGTCCAAAACCCTCGACAAGAGTAACATGAGAAGCAACCTGGAACACTTCACATCCTTCCATACCCGCTACTACAAGTCGCAAACGGGAATCGAGTCAGCAACCTGGTTATTCGACCAAGTGACTGCCGCAGTGCAAGAGTCTGGTGCCAGCGACCACGGCGCAACCGTCAAGCGCTTCGACCACCCTTGGGGTCAATTCAGTATTATAGCCCGCATTCCCGGACAGACGGATAACACCGTCGTCCTCGGTTCCCACCAGGATAGCATCAACCTGTTCCTGCCTTCGATTCTGGCTGCGCCCGGCGCGGACGACGATGGCAGTGGAACAGTTACTATTCTCGAAGCTCTTCGCGCCCTGCTGCGGTCGGAGACTATCGCCCACGGAAAGGCCCGCAACACCATCGAGTTCCACTGGTACTCTGCCGAGGAAGGTGGTTTGCTCGGATCACAGGCTGTCTATGCTAGTTACAAGAAGAACCAGCGGAACGTCAAGGCCATGCTCCAGCAGGATATGACTGGGTATGTTCAGGGTACTCTGGATGCTGGCGAGAAGGAGTCTGTGGGTGTTATCATCGACTACGTCGATCCGGGCCTTACTTCGTTCATCAAGGAGGTTATCACTACTTACTGCGATGTGCCTTACGTCGAGACAAAATGTGGCTATGCATGCTCCGATCACGCTTCTGCTAGTCGGTATGGATACCCCTCGGCATTTGTCATCGAGTCTCAGTTTGAGAACTCCGATAAGAGGATTCACACTACCGAGGACAAGATCGAGTATTTGAGCTTTGATCACATGCTGCAGCATGCGAAGATGAGCTTGGCTTTTGCTTACG